AGGAAAGTGACTGACAAACTTTGCCAAAACAAGCCAGGACAGTCCAAAATTCCTGCTTCACAGAAAAGTCTGCCAGATACTCTAGGCCTGTAGGCTGAAGATGGATGCCCCAACTTTACAGAGGAACTTTGGGTAACTAATTGTCCAGAGAGCCAAATGTCTCCATTGTTAAGTGGGTCTTTTTTTTTTTTTTTTTTTGCTTTGCCTGGCTGTAACAGAGGGGTGGTAGAAATGATGGCAGCATGGCACTTCATTCATCAGTGGCTGTCATTCAGAAGAAGGATATGTGCTCTGGGACCAGGAGACTTAGCAAGCCAAGAAAAGATTTTATGAGATCTGAGAGACAAGGAAGGAAATGCTTAAAAGCAAAGGCTACTTGTTGCTTTTGGGGGATCTTGTTTCTTTACTCCAATACCAGATGCTCAAAAGAAACCACTTGACCTTTCACTGTTTGGTCCTCTTGAGAGCCCTCAGTGAAGTTTATCAAGTTAAGGGTCCTATGAGAATTCTAGGCAAATTTCTGGGGCTGGAGCTTGACTGTGAAACAGGTGATGGTGGAGCTCCTGGACCCCACAGGGTACAGGTAACACTGTGAGCAGCAACCCTGGGCACACCTAGTCATGGTACAAGCCACCCTCTCTTATGTCTACACTAGAGTCAGAGTTCTCCTTTACGAGAACCAAACAGAAGATGAGTGCTTGAATCCCATCATCTCCCTATTCCTAGGAAGAAGGGTCTTCAGACAGGAGGTATTTTATAGATAAACAGAGCAGCAGCAAGGACAAATGGCAAAACACAGGAATAAAAGTGAGAAGGGGAAATTGAAAAGCAGAGAATCGTCCAGGAACCTGCTAGTCTGTACTTGTCACCTGCTGCAAGCCACAAAAATATACAAATAGGACTTCAGCTGATTATGACAAAGCTAATACCTGGAAGAAGCCAAGGGCCTTCCAGAGGTCAAGCTGAGGCTCAAGGAGCCTTGGTGATATTTGGCTTCTGATTATCAGTCATTTCCTGCTATGAGTTTCGCATGTGCTATTGTAGCTTTTCCATCATTTATTGGGCACCATTTCCCCTCTACTAAAGGAATATTTAGATAACCTTGTGCTCTGACAGCTATGCACAGCTAGAACCCCAGTTCAAGCCTCCCTGTAATTATTGTCATTGGCAACATCCGGCCAGGTCCATCCCCAGACAGAGGAAAGTACCTTATCAGAGACACCTCTGTACTCTCTTAAGAGTCCAGACTACCTGTTTGAGAAGGCCTGGCGGATGTGTCAATTAAGTTTAACTTCCTCCTTTCCCAAATATTACGTCCAGTTCCAGATCTCCCTTTAACTATCACCAGAGGCATCTAGCTGTACACAGGTTGCTTAGCGACCAAGCACACTTTCCCCAACCCTGCAGGAAAAAAACGGCAGATAGCTTAGACAGATAGGAACCACAGGAAAAAAGAAGGCAGTTTTATTTTCTCCCATTGACCTAGCAACTTATAGATTCTTAACATTTTCTACCAATCATGTTTAAGATTATAGTTGAGCACATAAGATCCCTCTTCTTGGATATTACCCGAATTTAGCCTTTAGTTAATTCATTAGTCACTTCCCTTTTAGGTTGCAAATGATAATGATCAATTACTGCTCCTCTATGTGATTCTTATCACCCTTCCGTTTGACTGTGGAAGCCTGGTGGTCACTGCCTGAGGAAAATTCTTACCTGCCTTTATGACCACGTAGAATTCAAGCCTGGTGACCTTGCTCGACCAGGGGATTGCTATTGTTTGGGTTTATAACTGGATTCCTGGGAGACTTAGGAGGAACCTAGAGAACTTAGAGATAGAGAACGGAGAGGAATAAGAAGGAATTTGACCAGAGAGTATGTGTGGACGAGATGGAAGATGAGGAACAGTCAGATGGGGAAGTACTAGCTGGGTAAGAACAAGATGAAAAGGACCTAGATAAGGCAGAATTAAGATAGAACTTAGAGGGAACAGTAGATAAATATAGAGAGAAATTAGGCAAGAAAGGAGATAGGCATGAGACCAGAACTGAAGCTGTGTAGATAGGATGTTATCCCAGAGGAATTAAAGCAAGTGGACTGACTATAGAGCTCGGTGTGTTGAGATTCTACTTCCCAAAAATAGTCCTTGCCATTCGTAGTTTCTCTCCTGAGCCCCTGGGAAGCCCCTGGTCCTTCTAATATTATACAAGAGTCACTGTGAGGCTTACTGCCTCCAAAGACTGACTTTGAGTGTCCAGGCTTTCGTGAATCACTACTAACTTCTGTCCCATCCAGTCTGAACACCTTCCTTTCCCAGTATCTGTACACTAGCTTATTTTGTGCTCAGGAGGAGTGGAACCAGAGGAAATGGGTTCATAAATCCATTTGTAAATGTTTTTATTGTATTTATGTGTGAGTGTGTGCTGATGCTCTCAAAGACCAGAAGAGTGTGTCAGATCCCTGGAGCTAAAATTACAGGCTTTTTGTGAACCACGCCACATGGGTGCTGGGATCCAAACTCAGGTCTTCATGATAGAGCTGCAAGTACCACTGAGACACCTCTCCATCCATCCATCCCCATAAATTCATTTTTAGTGCATTGATTTATTGGGGGAGGTGGTATGTGCATTCCACAGAGTGTGTGTGGAGGTCAGAGGACAACACTAGGGAGACTGTTCTCTCCTTCCACTATGTGAGTCCCGGGATTTAACTCAGTCAGTCTTGGTGGCAAGCACCTTTTAACCAGATGAGTCTTCTTACTGGCTGTGGTGATATATTGTGTATCAAATAAAGCTTGCCTGAAGATCAGAGGACAGAGCCAGCCACTCGATTAAACATAGAGGCCAGGCAGTGGTGGCACACTCCTTTAATCCTAGCACTGGAGAGGCAGAGATCCGTCTGGATCTCTGTGAGTTCAAAGCCACACTGGACTACATGAGATTGATTCACTCTAGGAGAGAAACAGAGCCAGGCAGTGGTGGCACACACCTTTAATCCCAGTATTTGGGAATCATACACCTTTAATCCTAGCACTTGAGATCTCATGCCTTTGCTACCAGTATTTGGGAAGCACACATGCCATTAATCCCAGCACTAGGAAGAAAGTGAAATGGCTGGGCAGAGAACGGTATATATGGCATGAGGAGACAGGAACCAGTTCTTTTTGGCTGAGTACTCAGAGGTATTCAGTCAGAGGATTTGTGGAGTTGGCGAGGTGAAAAGTTTCTCTAGTGGCTTATTCCTTTGTCTCTCTGATCCTTCAGCTTTCACTCTGATATCTGGCTCCAGTTTTTTATTATAAAAATATTTAGGAATTGTGCAACAGTAACTCAAGGCAGGAACTAAAGCAGAAGCTATGGAGGAGTGCTGCTTACTAGCTTGCTGCCCATGGCTTGCCCAGCTTTCTTTCTTACAGCCCTGGGCAACCGGCCAGAGTGACACCATTCACAGTGAGCTGGGCTCTCCCATATCAGTAATTAATTAAGAAAATGTCCCACAGAGTTGCCTATAGGCAATCTGATATTGACTGAAGTTCCTCTACTCAGATAACTCTAGCTTGTGTTAAATTGTCATAAAACCAACCAGGATATATGCCATCTGATGAAGACTACTGGGATAGTTCCCTTTCCCTGGGTGCTAATCTGTGAAGCTTGTGGTGGGTTGGGAACAGTCCTCAGCCAGACATATCTGCTTGTATGAATGACCATGTGTGGCCAGTTCTGACCTCCCTGAATTTGGTGGCACACACAACCCATTAAGAGTATGAGGATTTCACCCACTCCCTCATTCTTCCCCATCCCCTCACCAAGCCACATCAAGGGACCAAGTTTTGTCTCTGGATCCCTGCCTTGAGAGTGACATCAGACATCAGTTCACATCACAAGCCTATGTTAGGATCTCTAGTAAGTGAGACTTGGCCTTGTTCTTATTCTTGGACACACAGAGCTAACAGCTGTACCCAATATGTCCAGCCTCCTTGCTGGCCCATTGTGGGCTGGGAAAAACCAAGGAGAAAGTGACAAGGCTGGGAGCCATGCCTTATCCTCCTGATGCCTCCTCTGAGGGGAGTGTCTAAGGGTGACAGTGGCCTGAGCTTGTCTCCCTAGGATTGGGAACATTATATGTCCCTGTTCCTCTTTTGTGAATTCACACTTGTTATTGCCCCCCTTCCTCCACTGCAGATGGAGAGGCTGGCCACAGGACAAGCCCTGGGGAGTTAGGGAAGTTCCACATGGCAGTGGCTCTCGCTGTCTGGCTCCTGTATTCTGTGCCATTATTTCAAAACCACAGTGGTGAAAGTCACCCATACTGTCCCTGATGACTTCTGCCTACAGCTGTGGCCACCTGTACCCATCCTGCCAGCTTTCTTTGTCCTAATCATCAGTGGCAGCCTGCTTTGGGAAATAAATGGCTGTCACCTGGCAGGTATATGACAGAGGCACGAGCTGGGACTGACAGGGGCATGTGTGGTAGCTGCAGAGGCTGAGAGTGGGTCAGGCTCTGAGAGAAATACCCTGTCTGGATCCTTTCATAATGTGGCTTTCTTGCAGGCTCCCTGCCCTTCTCTGTCCCTTTGTTAGTGGAGGCCAGGACCACCAGGACCTGGTAGTAGTGGAAAACTATGGGCTACACTACAGTTATTTTTGTGTCTTGGTCACAGTCCCTATAGATGTGAGGTGCCCAGTCTTGCAGTGACCCCTGTGTTTGCTGCCTGGCTTTGGCCTTTTGCCTGTGGCTGGTTGCTGTCATTACTGTGCCCACCTAATTATCTGTCATGAGTTATGGAGAAGGAAGAGAAGGAGGAGGAGGGAGAACAGGTCAAACTCTACTCCATGAAGCTATGGAGCAGAGTCTCCTCGCAATCGTAGCCCCTGCTACTCACTCCCCTGAGATGCTCCAGGAAGGCAGCTTGGCAGTGACTCAGGTATGGATCCTGGGAATAAGGTTTGTTCTTCATTTGTTCTCTACTTGGAGCCCCTATGAATTCCATGTTCTAAGTTCTGGTGAGCTTGAGCCTTGCCAAGGCCTTGGGAATGGGGTCTGTTTCGTGAGCACTGTCCTATGCTGAGGTGGAGATGGTCAGAGCCTGTCAAAGAGGAGTGGGAGGCCCAACCCTGAGAGGTGGTGCCAAGTTCAAGAAGAAGGGAGGTAAGAGAGTGAAAGACTTCTGAGAATGATAGCAGCCTCTGCCACTAGTGTGAGTGTGTGTGTGTGTGTGTGTGTGTGTGGAGGGGAGCGCCAGACAACACTGTGAGAAGGAAGTCCCTGTGGAGTCAGGACTCAAGTCGGAATACTGCTTCCAAGAAAGCAAAGGGTGCTGAAAGAGGCCATGAACAAAGGAGAGCCCCAGGCCTCTCTAAGAAGAGAAGCAGGGAAACAAGCATCACAGGCTACACCTTGAGGTAGCTTCTGTGAGAATTCTTAGCAGCAGCCGAAATCGACCCACTGGGTGTTAGCTGGTTCTTGTGGTTTGAGTGTGAGATGTCCTTCATAGATCATGTGTTTAACACTTAGTCCACAGCTGGTTTTGCTATTTTAGAAGATTGTGGAATCTTTAGGAGATGAAAGCCTTTCTAACAGAAGTGGACCCCTCCTCCATAGGGCTGAACCTTGAGATTTTTATAGCCAACTCCATTTCCTGTCCATTCTCTGCTTCTTGACTCCATATGCAATATTGATCAGCCATCTCCCACTCTGCCATGCTGGAGTATCTCCTCAAACTGTGAGTCTAAATAAACCCTTCCTCCCTTACGTTGCTTCTCACATAGGACTTGGTCATAGCAATAAGAGAAGTAATTGCTACACCAGCTTTCTGTCACTGTGACAACACTGACATCATCGACTTATAATGAGGAAAATCTCATTTGGCTCAGTTTTGGAGGTACTAGTCCATGATTGGTGGGTCCGGTCACTTCTGAGCCTGCGATGAGGCGAAGGATCACAGAGAAGATGCTTGATAAAGCAAAGCCATTCACTTCATGGTCAGGAAAGGAACATGAGGGAAAGCGGAAGGGCTGGAGTATTCCTATCCCTTTCAGGGCACATTCCCTAAAGATCTCTTACTAGGCCTCATTTTTTAAAGTTTCTACTACTTGACAATGGTGCCGCAGTCTGGGGCCCAAACCCTTGACACATAGATCTTTAAGGGACACTCAGCACTCTGTAGCACCACCTTATGTTTGTGTGAGTGTTAGCATTGTCCTCGTTAATGTCGTGCATAGACACACCTAATCTGCCTTCCTAGCACGAACCTAGACTGTCATGTGCCGGCTACTGAAACAATAACTTGAGCCACCCCAAGGTGGTGCTACCTGCCAGCCCACAGCTGGCACAGCTCTGTTCAACAGCATGTGTGCACCTACTTCAAAACATCTTTGAATTTTCCCCATGTTGCTTTACTAAAAACAAGTGGGAAGTAGTAAAAAGAGAAAGTGCTAATATTAGAGCTAAGCCAAATAACATTTCCATGTGTGCTGGCTAGTTTTATGTCAACTTGACACACAGACTCATTTTGGGAAGAAAGAATCTCAATTGAGAAAATGCCTCCACCAAATTGGCCTGTAGTGCATTTTCTTGCTTGAAGATTGATGTGGGAGAGACAAATTCACTGTAGGCAGTGCCACACATGGGCTGGTAGTCCTGGGTGTTATAAGAAAGCAGGCTGAGCAAGCCATGGTAAGTAAGCCAATAAGCAGCACCCCACCCACCCTTATGGCCTCTGCATCAGTTCCTGCCTCCAGATTCCTGCCCCAATTTTCCTGGATGATGGACTATAAGCTGAAATAAACCCCTTTCTAAGTTGCTTCTAGTAATGGTATTCAGCTGAGCTACATCCCCAGCCCTTGATGTGAAGTACTTTTTAATCTCTCAGATTTAAGACCACTACCAGCAAAGGGTATCTTGTGAAAATTTGAAAAGGGGGTTCGTTGTTTTCCTCCTCTGTGTAAATATAACACTATGCCAAGGTACACAGCTGAGTTTCAGTCCCCACTAAATCTGTGGCCAGATGCTGCTACATAGTGTACAATCTGCCCAACAGTGCAGAGCTGCCCAGGATGGATGTGTATTTATAATACACAAGTCTCTTATTCTCATTCTATACAGTTAGTTTTACACACATCCCACATTTATAAAAACAGAAGACTGCTTACAAACAATATTTCTGGTTCCTGTTCTTTAGATTATAAGACTTTTCCCATATTTGAGACATCCTTAGGAAAGTTGAAAATATATGACCATGAAATTATGATGGGTAAGACTAGGTAAAATTCATGTCCTCCATCAGTAATCCTCACTAGAGCAGAGCAACTTTGTTTTTTATTTCCTAGAAGTCTGTGTCCTGGTTTGGCTGTTTGGTTTCTGTTGCTGTGATAAAACACTGACCAAAATCAACTTGGGGAGGAAAGGGTTTAATTCAGCTTACAGGTTGCAGTACATCATGAAGGGAAGTTAGGACAGGAACTCTGCTTATTGGCTTGATTCCATGGCTTATGTTCAATCACCATTATTACACTCTCCAGGATTGATTTCCCAGGTGTGACATCACCCATAGGTGGCTGGGCCCTCCCACATCAGTCAACAATTAAGAAGATGCCCACAGACTTGCCTATATGCCAATCTGATGGAGGCATTTCTTCAACTGAACTTTCCTCATCCCAAGTGACTTTTTTGTGTGTTAAGTTGACAAAAACTAAACAGCACATGTTGTATCATGTCTTTTACAGAATTGTCAACTTTCTGAGGACATGAGCTAGATGTTTCACTTGTCTTATTTCCAGAGCACAGCACAAAGATGTGTGGGAGTGTGGTAGAAAATGGTAAGGATTGCTGGAGTCCATGTTGCAGGAGTATGAATGAGCCTTCTCCAGTACATGTCCTTTGGGTTCCTCTTGATCCTCTGGGTGTAAATGCACCTAATGATTAATTTGTTTCCATTTCCCAGACTTGATGGGGGCAATGCACTAGGGCTGTGGTTCCAGGAGCTTACCCGGCATCAGCCTTAGGACAGAGCACAGTCTTGACAAGTTCACATTTGAGAGCTAGTGGGTTCCAGCTCTCTCCTTGAATAGCACATCCCTTTCTAGTTGAGCTTAGAAGAGTGGGCCTAGCTTTGGCAAGTACCTATGGAAAGTACCTAGTAGCAGGAATGATCAGATGTGGAGAACAAGGTGTAGAGCTCATGGAACAGGCTTGTTTAGGGGGCAGCCCCTCCTTGGTGCAGCAGAACAAAATGCCCTCTTAATTGTGGAACAACTCCAGGGTATACTTAGGAATTCCACAGGACTCAGCATGCCCCACAGCAGAGTTGCATTAGCTGGTGTTCCCCAAAGAGGGATGGGTTTTATGTTTCTCTAATGTGAGCAGTCTGATAACCATGGTAGAAGAGAAATGACTGTCCCTAAACCCTTCTCGGAATCCTAGAGATCTTGGTCATGGCTGCTTTGTGTCCAGACAACTCCTACAAGCTGAAGGTCTTTGCTCTTGAGATTTTCAAGTTCACCTCCTCTTCCTTCCATCTCAGACAAGTTGGAAAGGCAGCTTCCCTTGGTCAGCAATTGAGAGTGTTGGCTCGTGGAGTGGAAGAAACACACTTGCGATGGACAGAGAAAACGCTCATGGTTTATGGTTAGCAGCTGCTTTAAACAGTGAATGAATTACCATTCAACTCCACCATGTAGAGCCTTCTAGCTTGTCATTCCCAGCAGCTTTGTGGGCCTCTGTGGGTAAATAGCAGCCCCTTTTAGGCTCTGTGCTTCCTTCTTGATGATCAGGAAGGTAGCAGCTCAGTCAGTGTGATTCTGGGGTCTATGGCTTCCACACTTTCTGGAACTTGTTTGGAATGCATGAGGTGCTCAGGTGTCCACAGACTAAAACTTGCCTTCTAACTATGCCTAGTAATTCCTCAATTAATTTGAAAAGAGTTGTTGTACAGTCTAGAAGGTGTGTGTGTGTGTGTGTGTGTGTGTGTGTGTGTGTGTGTGTGTGTTTGTGTTAGCATCATCTATCAACCTAAATCATCTACATCTTATACTTATTAAAATCTATTCTTTGGTAATTTCATTTGTGAATACAGTTTATCTATATTTTACTTTGTAAAAGATTTATTTCTTTTACTTCTAGTTGTGTGTGAGAGTGTGTGTTTGTGAATATGGGCCTGTGAGTTCATGTGCCTGCAGAGGCCAGTGGTGTTGGATCCCTTGGAACTGGAGTTATAGACAGTTGTGAGCCTCCTGATATGGATGCTAGGAACTAAACTCAGTTAACTGCTGAGCCATATCTCCAGCCCTACATCTGATTTTTGCCAACAAAACCTCTCACTGAACCTGGAACTTACCAATTCAGCTAGACTGGCCAGTCAGCCATGGATCATTCTGTCTCTGCATCCCTAGTATTAGGAATTACAGGTGTATATTCATATGCCTGGTTTTTATATAAGTGCTGGAAAGCTGAACTCAGGTCCTCATATTTGTATAGCAAACAGTTTACCACTAGAGCCATGTCCCCAACCTCTGACTATAAGTTTCATGGCAAGGTGCCCCAGTCCCACAGCCTGCATAGAGTGAGGCTCCTGTTCTATACCTGGGCCTCTCACACAGGCTCAGATCAGCCTCAGCATAAGCCCAAGACAGGGCATCTCTGAGCCATAATTTGGATTCATAGTTTACAAGTGGGAGAAATCTAAAGCTTACCTCAGAAAAGTTAAACTTTTTGGCCACTGTTACCTACCTCACTGGTGACAGAGCGTGGTCCCCTATTGGGCTGGCCCAACTTCAGCTACTTGTCATTTAGCAGTGTCCAAGGCACATCTGTAGAGCAACTGACATTTGAACTTTCTGAAAGGTGAGCAGTTTGCCAGGCAGTCAGCAGAAGACAGGTGTTCTGCAGAAGAGCTAGGGAGGTAGCACTTAGGCAGGAGAAAGCTGGGCAAGTCCACAGGATGGCCTGAGATTCAGTTATCTTTTATAATCTCTTGGGTCCCATTTGAATGCTAGCTTGCCTTGAACTTTTTCTGATGTGCCCAGGATGTGGGCAGAGCAATCAGGTTACCTAAATAGTCAGCAAGCTTAGATGACATATAATGACAGTGTGTTACCTAAAAGAACTGAATACAGAGTGGAGTGGGATGCTCAGCTGGAGAAAGAGACTCCTGAGAACTGAGTTTGCCTTTAAAAACTCAGCTGCCACTAGATACAACAGGGCAATCTCACCTAGGCCACCAAGGGCATCTCCAGGGCCACACACTTGGAGTTTTTGTTTGGGAGGATGAACTGCTACCAGGAGGCTTGGTAGTTTTTTGGTATTCATCTTGTGTTTGTGGATCATTCTAAGGAGTCACTCATAAGGGGCCCCTACATCACTGGACAGGACGTCACAGAGACACACATGCTGTGGTAGAACCCCTATATCAAATCTCAGAGGTGTCTTTGCAAACAGATTCTTATGCCCCTTTCCTTTTCCTTTTCCTTTCCTTTCCTCCCTCCCTCTCCCTCCTTCCTCCCTCCCCTTTCCCTTCTTCCCCCCTTCTCCTCCCTCCCTCCCCTTCTCCCCCATTTCTCCCTCCCTCTCTCCCTCCTTCCTCCCTTCTCTGACCCCCTCTCTCTCTTCCTCATTTTCTCTTCATCTTTCCTCCTTCCTCTCTTCTTTGATTTTGTTGGGGTGGTGTGTGTTAGTTTCTTTTCCTGTTTCTGTAATAAATTACTATCCTGACAAAAGCAACCTAAGGGGAAAAACGTTTATTTTAGCTCACAGTTTGAGAGTACAGTCCATGGTAACAAGAAGACATGGTGGCAGGAGCGTGAGGCAGCTGGTCACAGAGCATCCACAGTCAGGAAGTGGAAATGAATGTTTGTGCCCAGCTCCCTTTCTCCCTTTTATGCAGTCCAGGTGAAATGGTGCCACCCGTATTTAGGGTTTGGTCTTCCTACCTCAATAAATCTATACTAAGAAAATCCCTTATAGGGGAGAGGGGACAGATATGATTAGGATATATTGTATACGTATATGGAAATTTCAAAGAATAAATTATTTTTACAGTCCTTAACAGGCATGATCAGGGGCCCTTTTCCCAGGATGTACAGGGGAGATGACAGCCATAGGGGAAAGGCAATACCAGGGTGGAACATAGAAGTAGAATCAAGGAATGCCAGGTGTCATCAGGAGGGGCTGGAGGGGCAGGAAGTATCCTAGTGTCTCCCAGAGGAGCATTGTCCACTCACTCCTCAGCTTGCGACTCTGTTCCCCACAGAAACAGATATCTACTGTTATAAGCCTTTCTTCCAACATTGTCCCAGGGACTTGCCTATCTACATCCCAGCATTGGGCCTATAAGGTGCAGGCACACATTGCCACGTCTGGATTTTTATGTGAGTGCTTGGATCTGAACTTGGGTCCTTCTGCTTGTGCGGCAGGGCAGTCTATTTATTTAGCCATCTACGTAGATGTTTCCAATTTTAGTATATGAAAAACCACATACTTTTCTTGACAGAGCAAGTCCATGGTCTCCAAATGGGATGCTCAATATGATCTCCTGGGCTTTAGGAAAAATATGAGGACTTTGAGGTTAAAAACCAAGAAAGTGGGCTGGAGAGATGGCTCAGTGGTTAAGAGCACTGACTGCTCTTCCAGAGGACCAGGGTTCAATTCTCAGCACCCACATGGCAGCTCACAACTGTCTGTAACTTCAGTTCCAGGGGCTCTAACATCTTCACATAGGCATACACATAGGCAAAACACCAACGAACATAAAATAATTTTTTAAAGAAACAAGAAAGCAGTTATACTTTTCCAGTCCTTTAATATTCTAGTTGACACCCATGGGTGACTGAGGATCCTCTTATCTACCCACCAAAGAAAGCTATGAATGTATGCCTACACATCTGCATACACATCTACACGCAAAATTAATAACAATATCACTCTCTTTCTCCACATAAAGGCACCAAGGGCCAGGGAGGACATAGGAAGGAGTGGTCTGTCACGGACCACTTCCTAAGTGACCCCCAGTTTTAACCATGACAGTTAAACACTTCATTTGTTCTTGCTTGCTGGTTCTATGCCCCTCCTAGAGGACTTTGGCCTTAGTCTTGTGATTTGCTGTGACCAATGAAACAAAAATATTATGCAAGCAGAGGCTTGGAGGGTACTTAGGCATTGGAGACCACCTTACTGTGGAACCTCTTGACATCTGGTGTCAGACAACACAGCTCCATGGAGGTTGAGAGCCTTGTGGCAAGATGATTGCATATATCTATACTGGGGTCTGGGGCTTATCTATGAGGCCATCCTCCACCACCAGCTGTAAACAGCATCACCCAGTCCACAACAACTACCCAGATCACCCAAAGAGTCAGGAGAAAGTAGAAGCATGTGTTGCTTCAAGTCACTATATTTGGGGTGCTTTGCTTTGCTTACTCAGAAAAACTGAGGCATACAGGTCTAGCCTGAGATCTTCAGCCCAGGTTGAATGCTGTGAAGCTCACACAATGCATGGTCTGCAAATATGAGGACCTTCAATATTGCTTCCAACTTTTTTTCCTGTTGCATCCTCAGAGACTAGCTGACAGATGTATCCAACCTATTGCCCACAGGCCGCCACATGAGGCTGAAGACAACTATGAATTCAGTTCAAGCAAAATCATAAACATACTTAAAATACTATGTGTTTTGTGTGTGTGTACATGATTTTTTTTGCGGGGTGGGGGCAGTCATCTCAAGAATGATCTGTGTAGGTGATATACTGTCATGCTAAAAGGTTGGACATGTCTGAATGTTTATTCTAGCACATAGTGAAGGCTTAAAAATATTTTTGAGGTAGGGAATGAAGATGAGTCCCAGAAGACATACATTAAATATTTTTAAGTGCATTGCATGAATTATTTTACTTAATCTTTGTCTCACATATGCAGTAAGTTCTTTTTCATGTCCATTTTAAAATAGGGCATTTAAGGCTTAGAGAATGCAATATAAGTTGCTTTCCCAAGATCAGACCACTAGAACAGCCAAATAGGGATGAAATCTCTCCCATCCACCTGGTTTCAAGCAGCTTTAGAAGTATTGCGCATATTACCAGAGATTCCAGCCCATCCATCATTCCACATGGAATGTGCTTTTATCTGTCGAAGCTAGAAATAGCATGCTCATCCTCTCTCTGTTGCTTAAGCTGTCCTTAGTCACCAGGTCCTTAGAGCACACAGTGAAGGTTGACACCTGATCACTTTGCCCTGGAACCAGGTTGCTTATGATGGTGACAGCTGTGTGCCTGGTGGGTCTACAATGGGGGTCACTGACAGAGGTCATCAGGAGTAAAAGACACCCAGCCAGGATCTGGATGCTTCCAAAGCCAGTAGCTGGGAGTGGAGCCAGGGTGCTGTTCCAGCTTGGGCTTAGAACTAATTGATGCCAGATGCAATCCCTGGGACCCAGGTGGTGCCCATTATATGAAGAACTAAAACCAGCTTCAGTGGAGGGGTCTATGCCAGGCAGGAATGGCCAATCACTATGCTGGAACAGTCTATGTAAAGCCCTCTGTCTGCCAATCTTACTTTCCACCAGGCTTGGAAGGACAGAAACAGCACAGATTGGAGAGCTAGGTAGTCTGTGCACAAGCTACATGCTGGGCTACTGGGCTTTGGTGATGGTAACCTCCAGTCCTTGCTGACTGCTTCCAGAAGAAGACTCTCTGGTAACTGGTGGTTCCCAGATTCCTTTCTGCTGTCTGCTTCAGCATGCTCTGTCCCTTGATCTATCTTTCTACACTTGTAACTCAGGACCTCACACATGTGAGGAGCTCTGTCCTGGAGCTACATACCCAGGTCCTGTTTATGTGCTTTCTTCACCATCTCTCCCCACTAACCTTGAGTTCCACGAAAGTAAAAGTTTTACTTGTCTTTTCTCCATCCTATCTTCAACAACATGTCACGAAGATAGTAGCTGTGGAGTGAAAAATTTCTTGGATTGGGCTGGAGAGATGGCTTAGAAGTTAAGAGCACTCACTGCTCTTGTAGAGGACCTGAGTTTGGGCCCCTCGGTGCTGGGTACCTCACAGTAATTCCAGATCCAGGAGCTACAATGTCTTCTGTCCTCTTGTACATTTGCACTCATGAGCACCCACACGCAACACACACTCTTAAAATATTTTAAAAATTGCTAGAGGGCCTGGATTTGTAATTACAGTACTTGGGAGGTTGAAGCAGGAGAATCTTCAATTCTAAGCCAGCTTGGCCAACATAGGAAGACCCTATCACAGAAATAAGAAAAAAACCAGTTTGGTATTTTGGGAGACAGGATCTCTGGCATTGCCTAGGCCTGCTGAAAAATTATGATCCTCATGTTTCTGACTCCTAAGTTCTGGGATTTCAGGTATGCACTCCCACATCAGGCAAGGTCAGTTCTTGAAGATAGGCATTGCTATTGTTATTGTTATTACGTGTGTGTGTGTGTGTGTGTGTGTGTGTGTGTGTGTGTGTGTGTGTGTGTAATACATGGGTACAGGGAACTGAACTCTGGTCCTTTGGAAAAAAAGCAAGCACTCCTAACCACTGAGCTATCTTTCCAATCCCTCTTTTCACTATTTCAATGAAACAGGATAATAAAGTTAGAAACATTGGTGACTTGCTCAAGTTCAAAGAGATAGCAAGTCTAACATATTCTTACCATGCTCAATTGATTTGAAACCTGTGAAGACCATTCTTCAAGGGTTAATTAAGCTGGTGCCCCAGGTGGGTAAGAGGGAGATCATGCCTTATGCACAAACCCTTTTAAAGAAAAACAATAAGGTCCCAAACACCATTTCCTCTCCAGACAACTTTTCAATCTAATAATCTAAGAAATTATTTTTCCAAGGAAGAGAGGCTTCAGACTCAGAATTAGACTCTCATGGTTAGATTTGGCAATAAGAAGCAGAAAACCTGAGAAGTCATGTGAATGAGACAGAGATCAGCAGTCAAGGATTATAAAGGCAACTAATTCCCTCTTTGTCAGGAATTGGGATTCCTACTCCTTGATCTGGCACTCAGTCTAGATGACAGTCTAAGCTGCTGCACCACATTTACCTTCTTGCCATCACAAAGAGGGAAGTCTTCACCACTTTAGGGAGCACTTCCTATAAATTAAATGCAATGACTCAGTTTCTTCTCCTTCTACTTGAAGGCTTAATGAAAAAAGGGAAAGAGGGGAAGCAATGATTTTGTTCCATTCCTGTGTTTGAAGCCACTTATGACATCTATGGCTCACTGCCCATGACAGAGCCTCTGAGCTGGCAGCTTTGATCAGAAGATCAAGGAAGGCTTCATTTAAGGACAAGCTATAAAGTGAGACTTACCTGTGACCTGGGTCTTGGGCTGATGAGGACAGAAAGTTATTCTATGTGTGCCTCATTGGAGAGGGGGAGTTTATTTCCCTCCCCAAGGTGTGTGTATAAGCTGCTGCACCTTGGATTGCATTGAGGCCCAGTAAAGAGGGAATGTTGGTAAAGAATTACTGGTAGGAATTATTGGGGTGCTGCCAAGGTGAGGGCAAGGGACTGTCACTGCAGGCTGATCAGATAGGGCTCAGGCCCTGGATGCGCCAATCTCTTGTTGCCCTATTAAGCAGGGGGAATAGGGCTGGCAAAAAGCTTAGGGAGCAGGTTCTATGATGCTCCATTAAGCTGGCAAGACCCTAAGTCCAGTTGTAAGAGCCCTCTGTGCATTCAAGTGCATGGAAGGAACAGCTGCCTTCAAGGAAAAGGCCCCTAGCTCTGGACAGCTGTGGATATAACTCAGGTTACACCTGCTAGCTGGTGAAGCTCTGGGAGAGTGGTAGAATGGAACCAGAGTGCTCAAAAGAGGGGCAGAAGAAGGGACCATGCCCTTTGGGTCCATGCAAATGTGTGTCTGCATCCAATAAACCACCAGCATCTGGAAGGCATGATAAGCAGCGCCCCACACATACATAGGGAACACACAGCCACACTAAGATACCCTACCCCCAAGATGCTGGAGGAATGGGGGATGCTCCCCGAGGTAGACCATGCCCCTTCATGTCTTCCCAGAGAGGAGGAAGGAGATCCCCAAGGTCTGGTTAGGTGAGTCCTCACCAGACATACCCCCACCACAAGAACCAAGGCCCCCTTGCCCAGGTCTCTGCCCTTGTCAGAGAAAGGCTACAGAATAAACAAGGCAGGGCTGGCAGTGCCAAAAGCTGTCAGTGACCACAATGGGACACCAGAGACAGCTACTTGTTCAAGGAGGGGACATGGAGCAAGGTTTGCACCTGAAAGGAGTCCCTGTGTCTGTCTAAGGAAAACCTCCACAGGATGAGGCTGGTGCTTTTTCCCTGTTGTCCTGGGCAGGTGGCCCTGCAGGGTTGGTGGGGTGTCCCTGAAGAGGAGTCATTTGATTTCCTGGAATTTAGATTTTGAAGTGTGGTGATAGGGAAAGGGACTTTTCCTTAAAAAAAAAAATTAAAAGTCTAAGAACTATTGAGTGCTCACACTGAGTCTCAATTTCCTGCACACACACACACACACACACACACACACACACACACACACACACACGATGCTGATGTCACCAGTGTGCCATTTTACTCATTTTATAGTAAGCATAGACTCAGAGATATAAAATAACTTTCTTGAAGGCAGAAGGTGCCACATGGTGGATCCAGGTCCTTCATCTGTCCTGGAGTGATTTAGATACCTAGGAGGTAGTTTAGGCACATATTCCAAAGGAAGCCAGCCACACAGGGCAATGAGTTCCAGGTGATGAGTAGGTGTGGCCCATACTCAATAGGAGAGGAAGGCAGATAATATCTGCATATTCTAGTTGATGGTCTGGACCATTCAGAGTGGTTAGCAAGCTTAGCAGGAAGAAACTCATAGAAGGCAGCAGTTGGACATAGTGTGGGATAGAAGCCTAGGAGGAAACAGGGCAGAGACCACATAGACCTGCCTGAATGATAGTTGGTAGCTTTGATTCCCTGTGGCTGGACATCAGGATCCTTACCAAGGGTCAGAGACAAGGAAATGGAGCTGGGCCCCAGGTTTGCCTAGAAATAAATACTGAATATACAGTAAACTGGAGGTTTCAATGTCAACCTATTTAAAGATGTCAGCTCAATGAAAACTTAGGTGGTTGGGGATGTGGTACAGTAGGTAGAATGCTTACCTAGTGTTCATGAAGTCCTGGGTTTGATTATAAACACTGCACAAACTGGGCATGGTGGTTTATGCACACAATCCCAGCACTTGAGAAGTGGAGGCAGGTGGATCAGCACTCAAGGACAGCCTGGGCTACATGAGACCCTGCCTTGGAAGGAAGGAAGGAAGGAAGGAAGGAAGGAAGGAAGGAAGGAAGGAAGGAAGGGAGGAAGGAAGGAAGGAAGGAAGGAAAGAAGGGAAACAAAGAACTTTGCCATATATCTGATAGCTTTTAGGAGTCTCAGATGCATATTGTATTCTGTCTCCAAAGTTCACTGGTCTCAGCAGTCTTCTGGTCAAGTGTGTTTCATTTGGTTTGGTTATTTCTGCTTACTGAAACCCACAAATCCTTCCTGGATGAGAAGTGATGGACATTGGAGATGTGCAAGAGAAGAACTATACTGAACTCTACCAGGAAACTGGGCATTCAGAGTGAGAACTTCAGCAGTGCATTAGTTGACAGAGTTGCTATGATAGATAA